TTATAATCAGCATACTTTATTCTGATACAATTTAGATGTATATATACTTGTAGTAATTTATTCAAAAGTCTAAAAACTGATGATTCACACTGCAATGACTAAGAGTACCTGTAAAGTGTAAATGTACTTGTAACATAAAATAGTTGCTAACTTTTATGTTACACCTATGTGTACAGGTACTTCTGGCCATAAAATGCTACAATGTGAATTGTTCTGAATCAGATTCTTCTACTTTTCCAATTTTGAATAATTTATGTACTCCTTGCAATGATTGAAATTATAGTATTATAGTATATTAGACTAGTGACTCACTGATTTTTCATATGTAGCTACTGGTGCTTCACCAGCACTGCAGCCTCATCAAGACAGTACCACTAGTCTTAATCCCAATATTGATGGAGCAGGACAGCTAGGTAAGAGTTTACGGTAAGAGTAAGACTACCATAATGTGTACAATAATAACCTTTTAATGCTAATACAGGTATAGAGGATGTTGATAAAGTGATAACAGTTTTAGATGAAGCTCAGTTTGGTACAGTAAAATGGAATAGCTTGGGTCTAAAGCTAGGTCTATATCAGCCAAAACTTAATGTTATTGCAAAAAGTGGTGGTGATGCAGACGATCACTTGAGGAAGACTATAGAAGCATGGCTAGAGGGTGCAGATAATGTAGCTAGTAGAACATGGCAGACTTTGATAGATGCTGTGAGGAAGACAGGAGATCGTGCAGCTGCTGAAAGAATACCTAAGTAATTGAAATCCCTTTATAGTGGTTACCCTTTAATAATAGTAATAATATTTTGGATGCATTCTGCATTATTTTTGCTTTGTGTGTTTTAATATTTTTTCCTTTTGATTATTATGATTAATTTCTTGAAACACGTGATTTGAGTATACTGAGTAGATATACGGAAAGTAGTCCTGATTTCAGTCAACTGCTCCAGAAATGAGTTCCATATATATAACAGAGCCCCCTACTAAAGGAAAGGTAGTTAATCCAGCAGCAGCTGTATTAGTGACTACTGGCCCCTCCCCTCAGGTACTATTAAAGACCACACTGGGTGATATTGATATTGAACTGTGGTCCAAAGAGGCTCCTCTGGCCTGTCGTAACTTCATACAATTGTGTTTAGAAGATTATTATAATGATACCATATTCCACAGAGTCATTTTTGGTAATTGATGAATTATTATTAATTAGTGGGGGGAGTTATAATTATTAATTAAGTAGAATGACCTATTGATGTGACGTTGCTTTCCTACATGTACATGTAATTTCTCTCTCTCCCTCCCCCCCCTCTCTCTCTCTCTCTCTTTCTCTCTCTCTCTCTCCCTCTCTCTCTCTCTCTCTCCCTCTCCCTCTCTCCCTCTCTCTCTCTCTCTCTCTCTCTCTCTCTCTCTCTCTCTCTCTCTCTCTCTCTCTCTCTCTCTCTCTCTCTCTCTCTCTCTCTCTCTCTCTTTCTCTAGAGTTTGTAGCTCAAGGGGGGATCCCACGGTACAGGGAAGGTA